CTTTGTGCAGCTATTTTCAGAGATACTTCTAGGGACCTGTAAGTTTTCAGTTCTTCCAAGGTGGTACAATCAAAGGTGAAGTGTTTACTCCTTTGCTGGCCAATGTTCTGGTCTTTGAGTGACCACAAGCACTCTTTTCTGCCTTGGAACTGTGAGAAAGATTTCTTCTCCACTGCCACTACAAGTTACACCATGCCAGTGCTCCTCCTCACCCCAGGACCACCACCCAGAACTATGACCCAGATCCAAGCACGGGCAAAGCAAGAGAATCCTGCCTCAGCACCAGCAAAGGGATCCCTGCAGTCCCCCTCTGATCAGCCACTCAATTCCCCCTCAGTCTGTAGGCTGGAACTCCTGAAGCAGCCACCGTAGTGGGTTGTGCCAGGACTGGGGATGGGACCAAGCTTTTCTCTTACAGTGTTCACAGACTTTTCCTGCTGACCTTCTAAGTTGTCTCTGGCATTTATGGGTTGAGAAGTATGGAAACCATCACAGCTGCCCATGATTCAGTCCTCTGAAGCCTGCTGTGGGTCAGTTGAGGCCTGGTCTTTGCCTGTACTCAAACTGTGCTTCTCTCCCAACCTGGTGTGATAGACCTTTCTAATCAACCACCCAGGTTGTCTTAGGCTGGAAATTTGTTTCACTCTGTCTTCTTGTGGATTCTGCTGCTCTAGAATTTGTTTAGAGCCATTTTTTACAGGTATTTGGAGGGGTTTGGGGGACAGCTCAAGCAAGTCACTGTGTAATTTTGGCTCTGCCCCCTGCTTTCACTCTTTAGGGGTATTTTGCTGTCTCATGTTTCTTCCCTTAACATCTATTTTGTTGTCATTGTTTGATTGATTAGTCATGTCTAACTCTTTCATGACCCCATTTTGGGTTTTCTTGGTAAAGATTCGGGAGTGGTATCCCATTTTCTTCTCCAGCTCATTTTACACATGTGGAAACTGAGGCAAACAAGATTAAGTAACTTGCTCAGGTTTACATAGCTAATAAATGTCTGAGGTCAGATTTGAATTCAGGTCCTCTGGACTTCAGGGTCAGTACTCTTTCCACTGCATCACCTAACTGTCTTTCTATAGATTTGAACATTTATTATGCTGTGGTCATATAGCCTTAATTATGTGGAATTGAATGCAAAAGCTAGCATAAACTCTTTTTAACATACTGGATGCATCCCGGGTCTTCTGTGTGGATAGGAATGTTTCTTAAGTATTCAAACCTGTGGCTCATGAGAGCACTTACTAAAGCTAACATAATAAAGGTAAGGAAAAAAGATAAGATTTCTCTGCCTTGCCGGCCACAAGATTCATAGTATCTGTAGGTCCTCATGTATTTCTAAGGGACACTGACTATGGCATGGTGTCAGCACCTGCTACCTGATTCCAATGTGACTATACCAGCATTTCTGGTTATATTTACTGATCAAGCTGCTACTTGCTACATTTCATTTCCATTTTCCATCCTTCACAAGCACGGCTATATCTAATATGCTTGGAATGCATTCTTTATTTCCCTCTGTCTTTGGGAACCAATTGTTCTTTTTGAAGGCCAACAAATGTGTTACTTTATACACATGAGTTTTCTACCTTTTTTCAATTGTTAATGAGTTCCCCACCCTACCTAATACTTTGCATTGACTCATATAGTCGTTATACACATCAAAATTCATTCTCTCCCTCTCTCCCACCCCCACCCATCTCTTCTTCTCTCTCCCTCTCTTTTGAGAAAGGTATTCTTTATTGTTTTAAGACCAACAAAAAAGACTGCACAGTTCTGAAGATGTGATTTTAGTGTTGTATATTGAATTTCATTAACACTGAATATTGGTCATCTTTCAGTGGGTAACTAACTCTTGCTGATCTTTTCTTAAGAGTACAATAAAAATACTCATGTTGATTGGAATGCTGGGAAAACTGAAAAGCATCAAGGAAGAAACAATGTTGAGACATGCCATTATAAGGTCAAACTGGGATGTATGACTTGAATATTGAAGGTCACAATGTAGTAACATTGGAAGAGAACCAAATCAGGCTCCTTTTATAACTATGAATAGAAGAGTTCTTTTTTTCTCTCTTTTTTAATAGTATTTTTCCCAGTTACATATCAAGACAATTTTTAGCATTGATTTTTACAAGATTTGAGTTCCAAAATTTTCTCCCTCCCTCCCTCCCCTCCCCTCCTTCCCTCATCTCTTCTTATAATAGTAGGCAATTTGATATAGGTTATGCTTGTGCTATCATATAAAACATTTCCATATTAGTCACAGTTGTGAAAGAAGAATAGATCAAAAGGAAAAAATAACAGAAAAAGAATAACACAAATGAAAAAAAGTACACTTCCATCTGCATTCAGAGTCCTTAAGTTTTTTATCTGGATGTGGATAGCACTTTCCCTCATTAGTTTTTTGTACTTCTCTTGGATCATGGTATTGCTGAGAATAGCTGATCATCACATAATATTGCTGATACTGTGTACAATATTTTCTTGGTTCTGTTCATTTCACTTTGCATGAATTTGTTCAAGTCTTTCCAGCTTTTTTGGAAATCTGCCTGTTCATCATTTCTTATTGCCCAATAGTATTCCATTATATTCATATACCAAAGCTTGTTTGTCCATTCTCCAATTGATGGGCATCCTCTCAATTTCCAGTATTTTGCCACTACAAAAAGAGTTTCCATAAATATTTTTGCACAGGTCTTTCCCCCCTTTTTTATGATCTCTTTGGGATACAGACCTAGCAGTAGTATTGCTGGATCAAAGAGTATGTAGAGTTTGGTGGCCCTTTGGGCATAGTTCCAAATTACTCTCCAGAATGGTTGTATCAGTTCACAACTAGGAGGAGAGTTCATAACCAATCAAGAGATAAAGGTGATCACACAAGATGAAATAGATTATTCCAGGCACACGAAATTAAAAGTGCTTCATGAGCAAAAATTGAAGTTACAATATGCAGGGAAACCACCAAATGGGAGGGAGCTTACCTTTGTAGTAAATTTATCTGAAAAAAGTCTGATATCCAAAATACATAAGGAACTACCATAAATATATAAGACCAAGAGCTATTTATCAATGGATATGTTGTCAAATATGAATAAACCATTCTCAACAGATTGTAAGTCATTCTCAACAGATTATACAAGGGTTGTTGAATTGCTAATAAGAAAAAATGCAAATTGAAAACAATTCTGGCATATAAATTCAGGACAAGAAAATTTATAAACATGTCTTAAAGGGAAGAGGGGTATAGTCAAAATTGGAGGGGTTGTGAAAGGATAAGCATATAGATACATTGTTAGTGAAGCTATGAATTGAGAATTATGCTAAAAATAGCTAAAGTGTCCATACCTTTTCTTTAGATATCTCACTTCTTGGTATATATTAAAAAAAGACAAATAGAAAAATCCCATATAGATAAATATATTTGCAGCAGCATTTTTTTTATAGTTGCAAATTACTGGAAAAAATGATTGAGCTATGTCTACACAAACTTTTGCACACAAATTTGACATGATATTATTACACTGCAATAAATAATGAAAATGAAAATTACACCTATGCATGGGAAGATACAGAAGCAAAGTGATACAAAATAAACAGAATCAAGGATAAAAATATATACAATGGCAAAAATCCAAAACAATAACATAAATAAAACTGAACACTGCATTTATGACAACCAAATTTGATTTGAAAAGAGATGAAAAAAATGTGCTCCCAATAGGCTTTGAAGAGGTGATGATTTAAAGGATGTGGAAAAATTGGGAAACTAATTCATTGTTGGTGGAATTGTGAAATGAACCAACCATTTTGGAGAGCATTATGAAATTATGCCTAAAGAGTTATTAAACAAACTACGTCCTTTGACAAAGATGATTAGGGGAAAAGGAAAAGACGTTATATGTTCTAAAATGTTTATAGCAGTTTTCTATGTGGTGGCAAAGATTGGAATTTGCAGGGATTCCTATCAATTAGGGGATGACTGAACAAGTTATCGTATATGATTATGAGGGAATACTATTGGGCTAGGAGAAATGATAAGCTCAATGATTTTAGAAAAACATGGAAAGACTTGCACAAAATAATGAAGAGTAAATTAGCAGAACCAAGAGAACATTGTATACAGTAATAACAATATTATTTTAATAATGACTTTGAGTGAATAAATTATTTTGTCTAATATAAATACCCAAATTAACTATAAAAGACATATGAAGAAAGATGATATATGCATCCACAGAAAGAACTGATAAATAGAAGTTTGTATAGAATAATTTTACATATATATGTATATTTGTGTTTAATGGTAGCTATCTCTAGGACAGGGGGAGGGAAGAAAAAGGGGAAAAAAGGAAATTTACATAATTTTGTTGGATATTTGAAAGGAATAGCAAGTTGTGTATAATGGATTTGCAGTTTCACGTGCAATCATCTTTTTTTTAATTGTACTGTGTTATGGAAATGCATGTTTTATTCCTTAAATTAAAAATAAAATAAATTTGAAAAAAGAGGTGATTATTAATATGTAACAAAGAACATAAAGTCATAATTGATTGATACTTTGATTAGTTTTTCTGATTTTTTTTTACCCTTTGTAACAAGTGATGGTTGTCTGGGTAGGAAAGGAGCAGGTATACAAGTGATATAAAATAAAAAAATCTAACAATTTTCAAAAGAATACAAATTAATGAACAGTCATTAATGCATGTACTTTCTTAATTGTCTGCACTAATATCCAAGGTCTGATGGAAGGGGTCTCAGAACAAGTGAGTTTCAATGGGAGCATAGGATGGATTAGCCCATGTCATGGGAAGAAAGGTAAGATGAGGAGGACAATAAAGTCGGACATGAAATAATTCTAATTGGGGTCACCAGCAGAAAAAGGCAATATGAGAATTCTGGAGTTTAAAAAAAAAACAGGGTGATTTAATTCCATTCCACTTAATCCCTAAATTGTTACAGAGCCCATAGACTCCTCCATAAATAAAGCTCCATGCAGTCTCTTAAATGGGCAATCTCCTTAGGGCCCCCTTTACTGCTGCATTTCTCAGGCTATAGATCAAAGGATTTAGAGTAGGATTAAAGAAGCTGTAGAACAAGGAAAGAATTTTCTGTTGCTCCTCAGAGTTCCTTGAGTTAGGGGCCATGTAAGCGATGGTGGCACTACCAAAGAAAAGCCCAACCACACACAGGTGTGACGAGCAGGTGGAGAAGGCTTTTTTTCGGCCTTCCCCTGAGTGGATTCTCAAGATAGCATTGAGGATACGAGTGTAGGAGATTAGGATGAAGCAGAGGGGTCCAACCAAGATAAACACACAGGCAGCAAAGATGACCATTTTGTTGAGCCACATGTCTGCACAGGTAAGTTTCAGTACAGATAGGATTTCACAGAAGAAGTGATTGATTTCCGGAGGCCCACAGAAGGGCAGCCTGAGGAGGAGAAGCACATGGACCAAGGCTAGAAAGAATTCACATGCCCAGGATGTGATAGCAAGTGCAATACACACTCTCCAGCTCATAATGAGAGTATATCTGAGTGGATGACAGATTGCCACATACCGGTCATAGCTCATCATTAGCAGCAGAAGGCATTCTGTGAGGGCAAACATCAAAAAGAGATAAGTCTGCATTATGCAACCTGCAAAGGAGGTAGGCTTGGCTGGATCCAGGAGATTTGCCAGCATCTGGGGGACCGTGCTTGAAGCATAAGAGATGTCAACAAGAGCCAGTTGTGAAAGGAAGAAGTACATGGGAGTGTGGAGTCGGGAGTTAAGACAAATCAGCCCCAGGATGACTCCATTTCCCAGCAGAGTGAAGATGTAGAGTAGGAAGAAGAGCCCAAAGAGAACTAGGTGCATCTTAGGGCTAACAAGAAATCCCAGCAGAATGAAGTCTGTCACTGTGGTCTGATTGTTGTCCACATCCCTATGATGAAAACAAAGACAATGGAGGAATATATTAAAATGCATAGTTTAATTCACTTCCACTCAATCCCATGGAGGAAAAATATTTGCTGATCTTTGTTAATCCTTCTTTTGTAATGTTGGGGGAGAGGGCAGAGAGAGGAAGGCTTCTGAAACCAGTAAGAAACATTTCTAATGATTCTTAACTTGTTCTCCTATAAAGAAATTATAGATTATTTTGATCTGCTTTATAACTGTTGCCATTCCCAAAGTTAAACTTCAAAAATGATCTGGAGATACAGAAAACTATATATGTGTGCAGCTACACAAGGATACAGAAGTACTATGTAAACTGTTGAAGTATAAGAAGAGGTTATGTCTGTTGTGATGGGAAAAAAGAATGTTATACTATCTTAGGAAAAATGTTATACACTATCTTATTCCAATCATGGTTTCCCTCAAAGCTTCATTGAGAGGATGAGCTATTTCGAGGTTTATGGAACAATTGGTCAGGGTCAGAGGCAGAAATAAGTGAGGATGTATTATTACTTCTACCCACTTAGTCTGAGGAGATCTGCATCTGACACCTTGTTCAAAAACAAAACAAAACAAAACAAAACAAAACAAAACAAAACAAAAAAAGAAAAACTACTATTCATCCTGTCCTGTGAGCCCAAGGTAACCTGGGAATGGATGATTCTGTTACTATGCATAATGAATAGGTCAAAGTTCTTAAAAATCTAGGCCACATTGATGATGAAGGTCCACGGGTTATTTTTTTAATTGAGAGGCACCCAACAATTGCATCTAAACATATTTTCCTAACATCATTTTTTCCCACTTGACAATTTCTCATCAATCTCATAAACTCTAGCTCTGCCAATACAACTAAAAATGAGGAATTTGAGAGATGTTAAATATGTGTTATTATCACATGTTGTTGATAGAGAACAATTAATGTAATCTAGTCACTGAATACTAGAAGAAAGCCAATGTCAGATACTTCTACCCTGAGAAGAAGTATGACAATGGAAATAACATCAAGGACCGCCTAACTTCCATTACTTCTTCAGGAAAAAAATGATGAAACATCGAGAACTGCACCAAATACTAAGTGGTAGCTTGTATGACATCATGAAGGATAACTGAGACCTGAGCAATGAATTTTCCTTTAGTGACAGTAAAAAGTGGTATGTCTGCAAGGAAAGTATTTTTAATCTATCTGAGATATAGTAACATTTGTATTCCATCACATTTGATATCCTCTGTGAACAATCAGAGACAAATATTTGTTTGGCAACAGCTTTGGAATGATAATAATAGATAAAATAATAGATATTATTTATACAGATAGCTTTAAGATTTGTAAAATGTTTTGCATATGCCATATCATTTGGCTACACTCCAGGAAGGTAGATTCTATTATTACTCCCACTTTACAGATATAGAAACTGAGACTGAAAAAGGTGATGCACTTTAGCCAGGATCACATAGCTAGTAAGTGTCTATGTCAGGATTCAAACTAAGAGTGTTTGGACTCCAAGCCCAATATTCTGTTCACTATTTTGTGTAGCTGGCTAGACAAAAGACATCATACATTACCTATTGCTTGTTTCTGCTTATTATTGAACAAAGAGTTTTGCTAGAATTAGTTGGAAGAAGGCTAATGGTTTCAATGCTTTTAATAAGTGGCACATATCCAGAAAAAATTCTGATCCTACTGATGACTTAGATATTTTAATGTATGTAGAAAATAGAGTCAAGAATTCATTCTTAGAATTTGAATAAGGTGCCAAAGTTAAAATGGATTCAGTTAAAAATTGAACATTTCAATCACATATCTGGATAACTGTTCTTCTAGCATACATCTTCATGTCATGGAGGAAATGCTGAATTAAAAAAGGCTGTGCCAGACAATGACAAGAGCTGTCTGGTTGGTTCTATCAAGTAGAGAAGACTTTCAGCACAGGGCTTGGTAATGGACTCCATATTTTACATTCATAAACCATCACAGTTGAGTGTGAAGGTGGACTAAAGGACAATATAATTTTGGTCAGAGAAACTCTTAAAGACCTTATACTGAGAGGGAAGTTGTCATCTATAACAATGATAATTATATCAAAGAATTATGTAATAATAACACTGGTTTTCCTTTAGGTCTTGGATTTTGACATCTGACAAATTATTGTGAACTATAACAGCCTTCCAAAGAATATTAATGGAATATATATTTTTGAGGAAGTCAACAAAACTTACAATACAATAAGTCTTAGATAGCTTCAGTATAGGTTTGCCTAAATGACTATAGAGGTTCAAAAATATAAGATTTTACTATTTTTAGAATTATTTAGTATGTCCTGTAATTATATCAATATTATATAGGGTGGGAAATATAAAAATCCATTATAAATATAAACAGGAAAAAATTTAAAAATTCAATGTAATAATCTACTAAAATAATACATTGTTACTTGAGTGTAATAATTCCAGACATTTGCTCTTTCATAGATACAAAAAAGTCATTCACCATCTCCATTTTATAATTTATTTATAGGTAATTATGGCACTTTTCCAGTTTTTAAAAATCTGGTACCCACTTATATCCCATCCTGTCATTACTATTACAATGTTGAAGAAAGAAGCATTGAGAATGGAAATCTAGAGAAGAGGCAGGAAATTTTCAAAATTGCCTCTCATCACAAGTCGTACTTACTTTTACTGTACCAATAATAATATAAATTGATGTTTATTAATATTGAAACTAAGAATTTTCCATGTAGTGGGTTGAATGAAAAACAGGGCAACAAAGCAAATGGATAGATTGGCAAGTGATTAGACTGTTGAGAGCTAAGAAAGCAAAATCTAGAGAGTAGAAGCAGTCATAAACTCTTCACATTCTGTTTTGCATCAGAGCTTCAAAAGACAAAAGGAGCTCTTTAACTATAGTCATCTTACTGCTCTTGGAGGCAATAAGTCCAGTTTCATTTCTAATGTTCACAGTATTCTCTATATACATGATATTTATGATATTTTATTTTATTTTTTAAGGCAATTGGAGTTAAGTGACTTGCCCAGGGTCACACAGCTAGTAAGTGTCAAGTGTGTGGTCTGAGGCTGGATTTGAACTCAGGTCCTCCTGACTCCAGGGCCAGTGCTGTATCCTATTTATGATATTTTAACTCACCTTACTCTATCACCTTTTATCACCAACTCCATCACTTGCCCTAAAGCATACTTTACTGTGTGAGAGATGAAGAAATCAAAGTCAACTGTATAAATAAGCATTAATGTATTAAATGCATTGGGGAAACCAAGTGCAAAATTGCTGATGGATTCTGGGTCTTGGAACTTCTGAGAAAAGTGAGTGAGATGGAAGGTTCCATTACTCAAATATTATACTCAGTTTACAACACATGAAATACCTATCTGCATCTTCACACCTCTCCAATTTACTAATTTCCTTCATTCTAACAGGAAAAAAGAGGACACATTTTCCCTGGCTATTTTCAAAGTCACAATCTTAGTTGGGCTCCTTCCCCAAAATTCTCCTATATCAATATTTGATGGGCTGTCATAAAATTAGAATCCAATTTGTTGTATTTCTCTAGAAGGCAAAAGTTAGGACCAGTAGGTGGAAATTTCTACCAATTTGAAAGTTCAGGCAGGACTCACCTGAAGTATTTAAATGAACACCAATGAGTGTTGGCAAGAGATGTGGAAAAAATTCTCCCATTGGGTGGGAGATTGAATTAGTATAACCCTCGGTCCTCTTCTAGCTCAAAGATTCAGAGATCTAAAACCAGGCAACAAAGAGTGGTATTGTCCTCATTGAAATTCACTTCAGCTTTCTGGTAAAAATGTGATGTGCAGAGAAAAGATCTATATGATCTGGTACACAATCTGGCATTGTACCAATCAATGAAAAGACAGCCTGGAGTTCCCTTCATCTTTAGGTAGGACCCTAGCCACACATCCTAGTGAGAAGAAAATCAATCTCAATGAGTATATATTGCTGCCCAAGAGTCAGCCTGATTTAGTGGATAGAGAGTTGGTCTAAGAATCTATGCAACCCAGCTACAACTCTTTACATCTGATATATGTTGGTTCTAAGTCCCTGGAGATAGTACTGAAACAAGAAAATGCAACAGAAAAAAAAAACAATAAGGGAAAATGGCTCTCCTGAAATTCTCAGAGTGATATTTGTATGAATTTTAAAAATAAAAATAGTAAAAGACACACACATATGCTCACAAAATTAAAAATAAAACAGGCTGACAGTAACCTTGAGAACTCTCTAGGGATAGTTCTTGATCTGTATTGTTAAAGAATTTCTTTACCAAGAATTCTCTCTAGCAATGAAATCTGAGTAAACTATACATATGAGTCAATATATACATAAATATACACACATATATGCATAGGTATATATGTGTGTATATAAAACCACAGATATTATATATGTGTTTTTGTGCAGGTATAAAATATCCCAAAAATATAGGTACATGTATATTTGTATATGTATATATTTTATAAAGAGTCATTATTTATTAATATAGGAAAGTCCTAGTGAGGAAACTCCTTTTACTTACACAGATCCTTGTCTATTCCGCAACATATTCTCTTAGCGATTTGCTTAAGACTCCTGCTAGTTTAAGTGACTTTCCCAGTGTCATAAAGCCAATATGTGTCAGAGGTGGGGATTTATACCTGGGTCCCATTGATTCTAAGGCTATCTCTCTATTCACTAAATGAGGCACATACATATAAAGATTATGTATACATGTATGTGTATATACATATACATGTGTGTGTACATATGCACACACATATACTTACATAAATATTAAATAAATATCAATTGAATGGATAAGACATAAAAAGCTAATTAACTTTTGTCATTTTTCAAGAACTTAAATAGACTGTAAGTTCCTTGAAGAGAAAGGATTATTAAATATATTGTATGTGAATCCCCAGTAATTAGCAGAATGCCTGAAACCTAGTAGGAACTTAATAAATGCTTAGTAATTAAGTAATTGGTCTCTACATATTAGCTTTCAACAATAGGA